TTTTTCATAACCATGGTATTCTTCATTGATTTTGACGTTCACTTGTGTGACAACTTATTCCATTTAACCGGATTCAAATCTCAGGACTACTTAGGTGCACCAGTCACTTAATGCATTTGACTGTGTTAATTTTTACTAACTAACCAGTTTAACTAACAAGCAGTAAGTCTACTTAACTAGCTTAAATTTTGGTGATGAGCATTCAGGCCACGTTGTTTTCGTGGTTTGTGAGAACAAGTTGTCTTTCTTTATATTTGTCTGCTTGTGCGTCGGTCGATTTAGTCCGTTAAAATCTTTTCTGGACCGAATACAGTTCAGGTCATAGAACAAATAATGCTGACAACTGTCACAAAAGTACTTGCATTACCAAGACGATGAACAGCTCACCATCCAACATAGAACAGGAACATTCTGTCTGTGTACTTTTACCGGCTCACTCAAGAGTGAATTCCTTTTTTCTTCTTTGCAAACCAGCCTGCATTTTGCCATTTAAAGATATATTATAAAGAACACAGTGATGCTCGGGCCACAAATAGGCCATCAAAATGTCCCCCTCATAATCGCGCTATGTTGAACCAACCATCTTCAGTCTTCTCACAATTATCCTGTTCAATAAACGGCTTGATGCAAAAATATAAGTGAAAAACAAAGTAAATGATCGCTTATTATGATTAAAGTAGTGCAAAATTTCTAACCCAACCCCTGCACCTTTCACTGCCGTCACTTAGTCAGTTCATCGCATCACACATTCAATCAATCGGTTTAGGACCATAGCGAGCACCGCATTCCAAGCTATGATCGGAGCACTTTCCAATTTGTTTAACTAAGGCAACAAATTACTTTCCTTAGGCCCGTGATGGCTAAATGAGCTCGCAAATTCTCAAGGAACTGTAGTTTTTGATTGATTGATTGATTTATTAGAGCTGACCATCCTTCAGACTTCACTTTCATGCACATTCCCCAGTTCATCCGGTCAACCATACACTCGGAAGCACTAGACTTGTGTTTCTCTCTTATCAGAGCTCATCAGTAATGCATATCCACCATCCATCTGTCCGGGATTTGAACTCCAAACCCACCATATGGAAGGCGTGTGCATTACTACTGTGTCAACCAGCTTATACCAGGTCTGAACCGAAATGCCAATTCACGTTTGTTTGGGTATCGTGACGGGACGGTGGATATACACTACGGATGAGCTCTAATAAGAGTGAAACTCGGGTCTAGTGCTTCTAAGTGTATGGTTGACTGGAAGACCTGAGGAATGTGCGTGAAGGTGAAGTGTGAAGGATGATCAGTTCTAATCAATTAATCAGTAACAATTATCACACAAAACTACTCACAAGTAAGTGTGAGTTAAATGCGAACTTTAGTTTTGATAAGCGTACTGACCTTGATGGCATTTGTTTCTGAGTCATTTTGTTTTGAACTGATTGATAAGTCTTTCTCGATGAACAGTGATGGTTTATGTGCTTCAAAGTACTCGGAATACTGGTCGTCAAAGACCAAGGATTAGATCTAGAAGAAACTCTACTTCATTCGTTTCGTTCCTAATCCTAAAACAGCATGCATTGAAAAGGCCGTGTTAATTTGTCGTGGCTTTTATACCATTTATAACACAATTTCAGGCGAACAATTGTTTTCAATAACTCATAATCATGCCATTACAGTTTATATGGGGGGGAAAATCCTAGGGGTTGGGAGGAGAACAATAAAATGTGTATGCGTGTCTGTGTTTGTGCGTGTGTGTGTGTGTTGCACACCGCATTCTCAAATCTGTGCTTCCGGGGTTTGTGTCACGACGGTCGTGTAATCCTAGGATTTTCCCCCCATATAAACTGTAATGGCACGATTATGAGTTATTGAAAACAATTGTTCGCCTGAAATTGTGCTCTAAATGCGAGTATGGGCATATTTCGAAATTTTATACCATTATAGGTTTAAATTCAATCCAATATCGAAGAAGGAGAGAGAAGCTGCAGATGAACAGCCTTAGAAACTCAAAACAGAGATTTGGTCAATACTGGGCATTCCCTGGTAATCATCTCGTCACAACTCCACACCCTCCGTCACAGAATTGCATTAAATCGAATGTTCAAACATTTTGAATGGGCCTGTTATCCACCTTATGAAGAAACAAATTATTTTTTAATGTCCATTATCAAACAAAGGACATTCATAATCATGAACCCATTGAGTATATATATGTATAATATATAATAACAAAAGAAACAACGGTAGTCAATATTTGATTCTGTTCATTTTGAAGGATATTGTTGAGCAAACAAATGCATTGTTATTCTCCTAATCCATTATAACTGTTCGCTTTCTATATCATTCTGTTCTGTAACTCAATCTTTCTATTTTCTGTTATTATTTTTGTTTTCTGGGCACCATGCTAGTTTCCAAGCTATATATATATATGTATGAAAACGAATATAATAACAGAAAATAGAAGGATTGGGTTACATAACAGAATGATATAGAAAGCGAACAGTTATATGGATTAGGAGAATAACAATGAATTTGTTTGCTCAACAATGTCCTTCAAAATGAACAGAATCAAATATGTTGACTACCGTTGTTTTTTGTCAATCTTGGATCGATTCATTCCGATTCTTTCCATATTAGTGTTGGAAGAATTCAGAACCATGGTGCAACCGGACAAAGCGTATTCTTTGTTGAAATAAAGAGAACGTCTTGTTTTTCAATCGACGGCTAAGTTTTGTTCAAATGCATTACTTGTTCCCATTCAGATTCCCATCCACTTTATTTTGAATGTCACCACGGCCACTGGAATTGATACTTGATGTCGCCCGCAGTAAAGCTTTTGTTAACAATAAGTAATAATAAATCTTCAGAAAGAAATGATATTTACTGCAACATATTGTGCCATCTACCGTATCGTTACAAGGCAAATTTAACTAGTCTACTCTCACAACCTTCCTGGTGTTTCGAGCTTGGCTGCAACTAGAATGAGTTGGGCTTGTTTATAGGCAATCACAAAAGCTATACAGATAATTGAGATCACATGCTTGAAGATGAACAACTGTTTCCAGTGGTTTACTCACAATCTTGTACAAATCAAAAATGGATTTTATTCGCTTAACTTTTGGTCTTTCATTCGATTAATTGTTATTCGATAAACATTCCGAAGGAGGATTCAGTGCTTACTTGACAAACCGCTAAATGACTAATTACTGATTTGCTATGCCGCAGCCAGCGTGGGTAGTGTTCTTTCATATTCTGGAACAGTTTTCTCAACGTGCGGTCGGTTCATGTTTCCTCGCAAATGCAACCCACTTCCTCACGCACGTAGGCATTCAGGAGCTTTTCAACTGATCTGTTCCTGATGCATCGATCTCATTTCGTCAGTTATTATCGTAGTTCTAGTCAAGGTCGAATACATTCGGAGTGAATCATTAGGATATGTCAACGGGTCCATAATCGGACAAATGTTGTTGGGCATGCGGAACTTACGCCTGATTTGACGAATAATCACATTCAGTTAAGTGCTAATGACAATTGTTGATTGCCAAGGCCAACCAGCACTGTGTTTATTCCACGACACCTTCCTGGCAGATCCTTTGAAATTGTTTATCCAAATAGATGGTGCTTTTGCGTGCTAAGCAAAGAAAAGTAATCAATAATTCAGAAGGTAGTATTTAGATTAGTAGTCAGGTTGTGAATGTTTCCAACCGAGTGATAACTCGGAGGCTGGTGATGAGAGTGGCATGGTCTGTGGCCCGCAACAAGGCTCACAAAGATGGGTTGTGCTATATCGTGTAAATTGAAAATGAAAAACGGTCTGATCAGCTGCTCGGTGGCCGGGTGGGTAGTATGCTTACGTTCTGCCCATGAGGTCCCGGGTTCGATCCCCAATTGGGTCGATGGATTGACACTGCAGAACCAACTAGGTCGAAACAGCTGTCCAGTGCTTCCTGGCTTTCCAGTTCACGCTCTATTTGCTATACAAACGACGAATTCACCTTTAAAATTGAACCAAATCCTCCATTACTCACTTGAGATATTTGGACTAGCCAATCAAATTAGGGACTACACATCCCTTAGAATGTGCTTTCCAAATGAGAGTTTCACTCCTTGATCTTTCTTCATTAGACCTATAGCAAATACAGTTTATCAGTAACGAGGGAGCACCAGGTATCTGTTTCGGCTTAACTGAGACCAGTCAGAAGCTTCTAGCTAAAACGAAATACCTAGGAAAAACAAAATGAACTAAATCAAACGCAACATTCTTTAGATTGATACAGTTATTCGCTCAAAGTGTTAGCGGTTGATCGTACAGATGAGAGATCACGTTTCCGGCCCCGAACCAAATAGTTCGTGATTCAAGTTCCGCCAGGGAGACAAGGATAACAAGTGCCACCAATGAGCTCTGACGCGAACAAAACAGCTGTTCCATGTCGTCCCTCACACTATAATTTCTATGAATAATTAAACAATAATATGCTTATTGCATATATCTGAATAACAAATGCAAGCGAGCCGTTTATTCTGTCCAAAATAGGACACTCCTTTTATTTTTCAGTGGTTCACTCCATTGACCCCAGAGAAAATAGGTTTAGAGGAGGTTTATTTCTCTGTGTGTGTTTGTTCAAACCACGCAGTTATCATCAATATAAAACAGATTGTGCCACTTCTAAGCAAGAATACAATTATCATACTCGATCAGGTCATATCCCATCCCCACCTTCTGATTTCAGGACACCGCACCAGTGCAGTTTGATGGTGGCTTTAGGGTTAATCGATATTCGCGCCGAAATTGATGCTTTACCATGACAACCTGGTTCTCAACACAGCCGTTGTATTTGCAGTATTATTGCGGTCTTTGTGCAATGAGATGATCGAACTCTCATTCTTAGCAGCTTGAATGAAATCGCTTTAATTTTACTGCTTTGGGTTAAATGTAACCAATTTATTATTTCAAATCCCATTTTTTTTTATACATTTCTGTTCCGTTTATTCTGTCCTGTGCCCAGGAAATCGATGTGATCAAAAGTTGTCAACGGGATTTCAGTCGGCTATTGGAAAAAGCCTCCGCTCAATTAGGGTAAGTGAATAGCAACAGGGTTTCTCTAACGAATTGACAAACAGTCCGATTTTAAAGTCAGATAGGTTGATGGAAATTAAAATCTTGAAATCTCCTAATGAGTATGAAGAACTGAAGAATTTCCTGTGTAATCTTATATGCTTATATTTCAGTTAAAAAGTACAGTGGTCGTGACGCGGAATGAAAAATACAGTTTCATATAACATGCAAAGTCTAGAATGTCGCTGAAGTCTGGTTTGTGTACAAAATTTATGACGTAATTCACTTGTGACCTTGTCTTTCTTGGTCAGGACTCGGATCAGGTAGGGTACAGGGGAATCTTTACAAATGTTAACACGAGAGGACAAGTGCCGAAATGAGGAGCATTTGGATGGAGGCGAATGACAAGATGATAGATCGG